TATAGCCTGTGAATAGCCACTGCACTCTAGCCTGGGCAACACAGTGAGACCCTGCCTCTAAAAGAACTGCTATTAAAACTGGGTCTATAAGAATATCTTTTTTAAAAAAGCAGACACCTTCACTAATTCTAACAAAAGAATGTAAAAAAAAAAAGTGATAAAGCAAAGATCCTTAATTGCAGGCAGTATATATGCTGGATAATCCACTAGAGGGCAGCAAAATGCAGGATTTCTTTTTCTTCGACATCTGAACTCTAAAATTGCTTTAAGCTGCAAGTTATAAAACTATAAAAATTTAGGTTGAAGAACACAGACTAAAACTACAGACAATGAACTAAGTTATAAAAGGAGATACGATTTACATAAATAGATGCTATAAATATAGAAACACTGTGAAGAGAAGACAAGATAATCCATCTGCACATTGGAATAGATATTAAATCTCATGAACATGATTTGAAAATTCTACTTTTTTCTCCAGAGACAAAAGCTATCAAATATGTATTAGAGAGAGAAACTTGCAGACAATTATAGGAACACCTAAACATTAAAGTCTGAGTTCTTCTGCATAACATTTATTCATACTTTCTTAGGATCTGGGCCAATTTTTTTAAGCGGGCATGTGCCTCAATTAATTAAGAAATGACCAGAGCTCAGAAATCTTGGGTTTAATGCTTAATTATATGCTGTAAAGATCAATGTTGCTGTTTGTGGCATAAAAGTCTAATAAATAGAACTTACCATTGGTTTTATGCTAATATAAGAAAAATAATAAATATAGGTCATTAAAAACAAAGTAAAATCACATGTAGCAAAGATATAGTAAGACACTCTAGATTACTTTAGTAGTAGAAAATATCTTTGCTATATGTAACTTTTTAATTTGCAGATTAGTATTTCAAAAATATTTTACAGTAATAAATGCTTGGAAAATCCACTATCATGTTGTAATGCCACATCAATGTATTTCTGGACTTTTCTACAGATTCAATATTTAATCATTTTGCTCATGTTATTATTAAAAGTTATTTTCCATTTTTTAGAGACGATAACCTTTACTGTTTCATAAAGTTTCATTCTCTGTGACACTTTTACTTTTTCCAATTAAAAAAAGGCTGTTTTTTTTAGTGTTGAGCACTTCACAGACTTTGCTTATATTCAAAAGCATTATAAGCTTATTTAACAGATTCTATATTACTTTTAAAAGGACAAAGTTGTTATTGAAGAATGAGTTTGCTACAGTAACCAATTCAGTTCTGCGTAAGTTAAATAAAATTGTAAAATGACAAGCCTATAAATGTGGAAAACAGTAGGTATTTTAAAACTGCCCAAACAAGATGTTTAATTGAAACTGAAAGCACTAACTTTTACAGTCAATTCAAGAGTGGGCAAGTAAAAAAAAAATCAATCTATTAAGTTCTCCTTCACAGCATCCTTGAAATGGTAGTGATATAAAATTACCTATAAAAGACCAGGATTTATGAAATTGTATTCAAAAGAGGGAGAGATGAAGATGATAAACAGTTGCTATAAGAACACATGCATCTAACAAATGGCAGCCAATACATTGATTTCTAGGTTAATAAAAGTTTGAAAACACTGTCAGATAAATAATGCTTCACTGATCAATAGTTTTAGCTATAAAGTCTTTATAAGTACAAAAAAAATTTTTTAGCATAGTGATTGTGTATTTTTAAGTTGAACAAAACAGTATTTAAAAGTAATAGAATAAATTACCTGCATAGGCATTCCAAGAAACACAAACTAAAAATCTGCATAAAAAAATTCCATGATTATATATGAAATAACAAAATTCTTGCTAATGTTAAACTGCCCATCCCTTTACCACTAGGTCATACTATTTAAGACATTATACTATAGTTGCTGTAAAAATAATTATGTATTCATTTTTCTTTTTTGAGACGGAGTCTCGCTCTGTCACTGAAGCTGGATCGTGCAGTGACACGATCTCGGCTCGCTGCAACCTCCGCCTCCTGGGTTCAAGCCTGAACTTCAAGGTTGATTCTCCTGTCTCAGCCTCCTGAGTAGCTGGGATTACAGGTGTCTGCCACCACGCCCGGCTAACTTTTGTATTTTTAGTAGGGACGGGGTTTTACCATGTTGGCCAGGCTGGTCTTGAACTCCCGACCTCAGGTGATCTGCCCACCTTGGCCCCCCAAAGTGCTGGGATTACAGGTGTGAGCCACCATGCCCGGCCAAAAATTATGAATTCTGTGACCTGGCCAACAATTATCATGAATTCTGTGACTATTACATGGAAAAAGAATCATAAGCCTTGTCACTCTCTTGAAACCTCTGTATTGTCATAATAAAAACTTAAAACAGATTATGTCAGATAAGATAACTTATAAAACTTACTTTAATATTGCAAAAATGAAAAAGGAAATGGCAAACAGAATCATCTGATTTCACAAAAGGTAAAGAAATCCTAATCATCCATCAGAGGGTTTTTCCTGTTTTTTTTTTTTCTTTGTTTTAATCAATTATTTAGCAAAGCTCAGAGATAACTAGAATAGATGCAACTGTTTAGATTTCAAACATAAGTTCCTGGTTTCTATAAAGGTGTTTGGCTTCTTTCAAATTTTAGCTTTTCAAAGCTGCAACTCAGGAAAGTAACTATGAATGAATGGGATTACTTTGGAAATAAGCAACTCAAAATCATTGTCAAAGAAAAACAACATTGAAATTGTTTCACTACTACTAATGAATTTTTAAACCTAGAAAATGCTATAGCATACATATCCATTAGCGGGTAACAGTATTTATTTAGGCGTTAGCAAATGTTGGATTCTTTTCAAATTCATATCAGAAGGATTTTAAGTCTACCAGCAGTAATAGACTATTAGCTGTTCTTAGGTAGCCTACGACATTAGAAAGATCACAGCATTCTGAGAAGATGCAGAAGAATTTAAAAAAAAGAAGACTGCAGAATATTTCCCAGGATTAGGTAACTTCTTCTGTTGGCCTTAGTAAGTTTGAGCAAACTTTCTAACTAAATTTCATAAACTCATTAATTACAACGTAAAAGGCGCTAAATATTTTTTATGGATGAGCTCCCTCTGAAAGAACTATTATAAAAAAATTGTTTCTATGTCAAATTATTTTCTTTTATTGTTATTATATTGGACCCAATAATATTCTTTGAATACTCTGGACTATCAGATACCACAACTCTGAGAAAGATCTGCTCCAAGTTATTAGTTTTCTGGACCAGTTGAGGTTACATTCTGGGGAAAAAGTTCAAGACAATTGTATTCCCTCTCTTGACATGAGTGACATGAACTAAGAATATATTTCAATAAACTGAAATACTAAAAAACATGTGAAATTAATGCCAAGGAGGAGACTTTTTAGAAAACGGTCACTACATGTATATAGTGATAAAACCCTTCTCAAAAACAGAAATAAATTCCAACAGAGTTGAGGGAGATGATAGTAAATAAAGAAAATAAGAGATTCTATTAATATAAAAAGCTCATTGAAAAAGTAAAATCCTTTTTATAAGGTTGTTCTTAGGTAACCCACAACATTTAAAAAACCAGTGTTGCAAGAAGATGCAGTAGAATTAAAAACAAACAAACAAAAAGACCACAGCATATCTTCCAGGATTAAAAAGATAAAAATTCACAATTTACACCTTTAAAGTTCTGAGCACCTTGTATTCACTATGAATTTCTAATGGCTTACTTTTAGCCAGTATCTACCATACGGTAAGAACAATGCAACTATTATGTATCCATAAATATAAAAAATTTAAAAATAAAAAAGAAAGTAATGGCAGAGCTACAGCTCAAACATGAATCTGTAAGATTCTACTGCTAGCCACTCCACTCTACCACCTTGCTGAACTGTTTTGGGACTCTGGCATTCATAAAATAACTTTAATTCAGATTGTGCTCAACACTGATTCACAACTGAGCTACAGAGTTATATTGCTGGGAGATTCTTGGTTTCTTCAGTAAATAACTGGGCTTTGATATTTAAAAGGCAAGCACTACTTACTGTCTGTCATTCTATTAAAATTGTAAGGCAGTCTGGTATAGTGAATCAACAAAACCACTTCTGGTCCCAAATCTACTAATAATTATTGATGTCTTTTAGACAAGTCACATAAATAAGTGGATGTCAGGTTGTTCTTTGTTTTTAAATATCAAAAGTGAAGGAGTTGAACTAATATCCATGTGATTAATTATAATCTAATTTGAATATTAACAAAGCACCCACTGTGCACTCTACAATGGCTAGATACTGAGGATCCACACATACGTAAACTGCACCCATCCCAATCGAAGGCAGAGAGTTAAAATTCACGAGTTTAGTTTTTCTTACAGTGAAGGTTAAACAAATAGAGAACCAAATATCATGTGATTCTTAGAAAGAAGGTTCTAATAATGAAAGTGCAACAGCTTTAGACATTAGCTTTACCCAGGTGGATACACTTATACACAGGCATATATGCCCATATATACGCTGTGGGAGAGAGTGGAAGAAGGGAAAAATATGCCACTGAATGTTGGGTCACTATTTTAAAGGTAGAGTAAAGGTCTGAATCACCTTCAATGAAAGACAAGGAACTGTATTTCAGTGACTGAGTATATAGAACTGCTTCGATTCAAATTGTATACTTTGACTTCACGGACAGGAAAAATGTCCTTTACCAGGAATGTCAGTTACTATAAAACACTAGAGATTTTAGAGGGAGGGGAAAAAATCTCAAAGCCTATCCATCCCAGTTGAATATACCACGTATTTTAGTCAGCCTTTCTTAACCAGAGTTCTAAGAGAGAATTAAGCCTTAATACCCTAAGGCATCTATATAGTAAGTAAGGAATTAACATCTTTTCCTATGCGTCTGGAATTATACTAGTTATCTAAAATCCTTGGGTAAAATACAAAAAAATCACTTTCTGTGTGCTTTTGATCAGAACAGGAACTCTGGCTGAGCTCATTAGTTTGTCAGCATTTTAACAGCTGCTTACCACTGCAAACAGAAGAAGTGATGTTGTACAGAAAAGGATAAAACTGCATACAGCGGATCAACTTCAGGCTGTTTTCACACTCTGGGCATTTGGTGGTTAATTTCAAGGCCTGTCTAAAGGCCTCAAGTGCTCCACTGATATTCTTCAGAGCAAGGTAAGCATTTCCCAGGCTCAAAAAGGTCAGAGGCTGAAAAGAAAAAAAAAAAAAAATTGACAAAATGTTAATGAACTACTATTTTCTGGGAGTTACAAAACGTTTACAGTATATGGCTTTTGGCTCTTTTTAGGTTACCCCATAAACGTTATTGCTAACTGTCCATTTTATTCATACCAGCCAATTCTAAACTGTACAATACATGTAAATGTGTTTTCTACTTTTTTTGCTAAGATAAAAAATATATAAAGTATGTAATATAAACTATATATGTATATATCCCTGTAACCACCACATTGCTCAAGATACAAAAATATTTTCAGTACTCCAGGAGGTTGCCTTGGGCAATCCAACCCCAGAAGTAACCATTGCTGTGATGTTGTGACTTCTGTCATCATAGTTTTTGAACTTCAGATAAATGAAATCAAACTGCATGTTCTCCTATGATTACAAGTAATATGTGTCCTTTTGTAGCTTCTTTCACTCAACCTAAAATTCATTCAAGCTTTTGTGTACATCAGTAGCTCATTGTTTTTTAAGCTGATATGTAATGTTCCAACATAACACAGCTTGTTCATCTGACTGGCAGTTGGGCTATTTCCACTTTCTGTCTATTATGAATAAAGTTACTATGAATATTCTTGTAAATGTCTTTTGATAGGCATATTGTCCTCATTTTTTTTGAGTATATACTCAGTATGAGTTGTAAGGTAGATGTATATTTAGTTTTAGTAGATACAACCAAATAGTTTTCCAAAATGGATGCACAAATTTACACTCCTACCAGCAAGTGTGAGAATTCAGAGACTCTGTATTGTCAGTCTTTTTAATTTTAGCTATTTCAGTGAGCTGCAGTGGTGTCTAACTGGTTTTAATTTGCATTTCCATGATGAGTAATAATGCTGAGGGTTTTTTTTGGGAGCCCATTGGCCATTTGGATATCCTCATTTCTGAAGTGCCTGCTCTTTTCTCTATCTAAAAGAATTAGATTGCCCTTAATGCCCTGAAGGAATTTTCTGTCTATATATTAGTCCTTTGTTGAAAATATTTATTGCAAAAATCTTCTCTATGGTTTGTTTTTTTACTCTCTGAATAAGTATCTTTAGATAAACAGAATTTCTTAATTTCAATGAAGTTCAGCTTATCATTTTTTTCTTTCATAGTGCTTTTTGACATCTTTGTCATAAAGTCTTTCTCCTATGTCTTCATAAAGAAACCTTGTTTTATCATTCATATTTTGGTACATGATCCACTTCAAATTAATTCTGTGTATGGTGTGAGGTAGAAGTCAAAGTTCTTATCTTTCTCCATAGGGATATCATCCAATTACTCCAGCACTAATTTGCTGAAAAACCAAAATGTTTTTTCTTCATTGAACTACAGGTACACCTTTGTCATAAATCAGTGGCCATATTCACGGTGGTCTACTTCTAAATTCCCTATTATGTTTCACTGATATGTTTTGAGTATCTTTTTATCAATACCATACTCATTTAATTATAGTAAATCTCAAAATCTGGTAATAAAAGCCTTCCAACTCTGTTCCTCCCCATTACCCTGCCCCCATTTGTGTGTACGTGTGTGTGTGTGTAGCTATTCTAGGTCCCGTTCTATGTAGATTTTAGAATCAACTTATTAACACACAAACACATATATGCAATTACTAGGTATTTGAGATTGAATTGAATCTATAAATTGATTTGCAGAGATCTTACATCTGAGCAATATTGACTCTCTCAATGTGTGAACACGATGTGTATCTCCATTTACAGGTTGAGCATCCCTTATCCAAAATGCCTGGAACCAGAAATGTTTTGGATTTCAGATTTTTAAACATCTTGGAATATTTTATTATATTTATTGGTTGTACATCCCACATCTGAAAATCCAAAATCCAAAATGCTCCAACGAGCATTTCCTTTGAGTGTCAGGTTGGTGCTCAAAAAGTTTTGGATTTTGGAACATCTGGGATTTCAGAGTTTTGAATTTACGATGCTCAACCTGTATTTATGTCTTCTTTCTCTTAGTGATATCTTGTAATCAGTATATAAATCTTGCACATCCTCTTTTAGGTTTATTCTTAGAAATCTGATGTTTTCTTTCTTTCCTTTTTTTTGAGACAAGGCCTCATTCTGTTGCTCAGGCTGGTCTGGAACTCCTGGGCTCAAGATATCCTCCCACCTCAGCCTCCCAAGCAGCTAGGACGACAGGTGCACACTACCATACTTGGCTAATTTTTTTTCCTTCTTTGTAGAGATTGGATCTCATTGTGTTGCCTAGGCTGGTACTGAGTTCCTAGGCTCAAGCGATCCTCCCCACTTGGCCTCTCAAAGTGCTGAGATCACAGGTGTGAGCCACTATACCAGATCTGATGTTTCCTTGATGCTATTGTAAATAGCGTACTTTGTATGCTGTTTTCCAATTGTTTGCTGAGACTGTTTTTATAAGCAGCCCAAAGTATTCAGTTTAGGCCATTTTAACTGAAATATATCTACAGTGTTTTTACATTTGCTTGTGTGCAAACCATATGTTTTATATTTATTTTATCATTAAAAATAGTTAAAAAGATCTAAGAATGTTTTGTTTTCAAAATGTACAATATATCCCTATGAAAAACAATGCTTATGATTTATCCAATTACCTGTTTTTGATTCGGGCTGTTAGATCATCAGAAATGTCTCACTGTAACCAAGGCAGAGGATAAAAAATATTCTAGATTAAGGAATTCTAACCTAAGTAGCTCAGATTACATTCAAACTATTACTTAGTAGTTCACACCCAGATACAAAATTAAATCTCATACTTAGACTTCAAATGTATCTTTATATTTTGCATTAGGAAACAAAGTGTTATAATTATCTCTATGACAAAATGATGGCTGTTAAAATATCTTGCACCGAGATAAACTGGTTAGCATTTTGGAAAAAAAGTTGAACTTTCATCCCTTGATCCAAAAAATAAGTACTGAGTATTTACTATGTTGCAGGCATAGTTTTGAGCATTAAGGTTACAGCAGAAAATAAGAAAGATAACTGCTCCTTCATAGACCTTATAGTCTTGTGTGGGGGTGTCAGCGAGTAAAATGGGACAGAGAAAAATATAGAAGGAAGAAATAGAGGTAGTACTAGGTGGCGGGGTGCATCATTTAAAATAGAGTAGTATGAGAGGGACTTACTGAGAAGCTGGTATTCATAAGACTTTGAGGAGGTGGAGCAAGCAATGAAGAATCTTGGTGGGATGAAGTACTGCAAGCAGAGAGGACAGAAAATGCAAAAGCCCTGAGGTAGGGGCATGCTTAGTTCAAGGAACTACAAGGAGGCAAGTGAGGCTAGGATAGAAAGTGCTAAGGAATGACTCGACAGAGACAAGGTCAGAAAAGGTCAGAAAAGTAACAAGGTCATGTAGGACCTTCTACACCATTACAAACTCATATTTTCCTGTGAGTTCTATGGAGAGCCACCACAGGGATCTGAGCCAACAAATAACAACATTTGACTTTTTATAAGGATTTTACTGCTTGCTGTATGAGAACAGACTGGGGAACAATGGCAGAAGCAGAGAGACCAGTTTAGAAGCTACTAAAATAATCCAGACAAAAATAATTATGGTTTGGATGGGATAGCAGTGGAAGCAATGATAAGTAGTAAAATCTGAGGTATATTTTGAAAACAGAATCAACAAGGTTAGCTAGTGCATTGAATTTTCCCTGAGAGTAGGAGAAAGGTATGAAGGAAGTCCCTAAGTGTTTGGTCTGAGCTACTGGACAGATAGCTTTGTTATTTCCTGAAATGAAGAAGACTGGGAAAAAGAAATTTGGAAAGGTGTTAAGGAGCTTGGTTTTGGCCTTTAGTTCTAGAGTGCCCTTTAGACATCTAAGTGGAAGTGTCAAGTAAGCTGCTGAATAAAGGAGCTCAGGGCAAAGGTGACAGGTAATTCAACAGGAAATGGGCAGTCTGCTCAAGATATGAAGCTGAACAACTGGATATCCAGGTAAATATGAACTCTGATCCCTACCTCACACTACAAAGAAAATTTAACTTGAAATGAATCATGGACCTAACTGTAAAGCCTAAAACTATAAAATATCCAGGAGACAACACAGGAAAAGATCTTTATATAATCTGAGAATCAACTGTTCAACGATTAAGCCACAGAAAACAAAAACAAACAGTTTTGTGAGAACACTTGAAATCTAACAATAGAAATCAACACTGAAAAGACTGGCAAACTTAAGGTCAATTTTTAAATGCTAAGATAAAAAGGCAAAGAGGGAAAATATTTTTAACACATGAGAGATGGAGTTAAAGAGTTTATCATACAAAGGGTTTGCACAAAATTTAAAAAATAACATTCCAAAATGAACAAAATATATACACAAACTTTTACTTTAAAAATACAATTACAAGGCTGGGCACAAGGGCTCAAGCCTGTAATCCCAGCACTTTGGGAAGTCAAGGTGGGCGGGTCACTTGAGGTCAGGAGTTTGAGACCAGTCTGGCCAACATGTTTCTACTAAAATACAACCTTGTTTCGACTAAAAATACAAAAATTAGCCGGGTATAGTGGTGTACACCTGAAATCCCAGCTACTCCAGAGTCTGAGGCACGAGAATAGCTTGAACCTGGGTGGCGAAGGTTGCAGTGAGCTGAGATGTCACTGCACTCCAGCCTGGGTGACAGAGCGAGACTTTGTCTCAAAAACAAAAAACAAGCACAAGATAAAACTTTATGTTACAACAGAGAAGTGATATTTGTAAGCAAGCAAACTTGCTTTATAAATGTTAATTCAGAGGTAGCATAACACGACTAGAGTATTTGCTCTGTGGCCAATCTCCCTGAGTTCAAAACCAAGCTCCGTGACTTTCCACAAATCCCTTATTCTATACATTTAACTCTTAAGAATTTCCTCATCTATTAAAGGGGAAATTCAATCTCACAGGGTTGTTGTGAGGATTAAATTAGTTATTACATGTAAGATGCTTAGCATTGTGCCTGGCTCTAGTAAATAATCAAAAAAACTAGCAGTTATTTCAGTTGTTCAATTCTAATAAAGACACAGGTGGCATTAATATTTTTAGACCTTGTTCATGGCAATATATATTGGCCCAAACATTTTAGTGGGTTGTTTCGTATTTTGTTCCAGAGCCATCAAAATATTCATTCTCTTATTGATTTAGTAATTCCACTGTTAACAATCTTTTAAGGCCTTTGCAGAAAACCATCAATGATAACAGCTAAGTACTGTTAGCAACCTAAACATGCAACAACAGAAAAGTAGGTTGTGGCATATCAATTCATTGGTCCTTTACACAACCATTTAAATTGATGGCTTTAAAATTAGGTAGGAATAAATTTTTTAGAGATCACCTGTACAGTAGAATTGAAACATTATGAAATATTTGTATAGAAGACATGCTTATAAGGAAGAATTTCCAAACATTGATAGTTGGGAAGAGGGTGTTGATTAAGGTACATTTTTGGGGCAGGGTGTGGTGGCACATGCCTGTAATCCCATCATTTTTGAAGGCCGAGATGGGAGGATTGCTTGAGCTCGGGTGTTCAAGACCAGCCTTGCCAACATGGTGAAACCCCATCTCTACAAAAAAATACAAAAATCAGCCATACGTGGTGGCACATGCCTGTAGTCCCAACTACTAGGGAGGCTGAGGTGGGTGCACTACTTGAGCCTAGGAGGTGGAGGCTGCAGTGAGTCATGATCACGCCACTGCACTCCAGCCTGGGCAACAGAGCAAGACCCTGTCTCAAAGCAAAAAAAAGGTATATTTTTGGGGTACTCACCCTGAGCCATTAATTTATCTTTTTATTCTTATTGTAGCACCATGGTATTTAACAACTAAAATTTTAGTATTTTAAAATATCAAAAGGTAACCAATCACTAAAGGAGGTCTTTTTTCTTCAGAAGAATACTACCTATGTCCCTTGGCTGAAAACAGTAAAAAGGGAACCATGAAAAGTTTCAAGGGAATACCGCTGCACTGCGCTTTCCACTCCCACTTTGTCACATCTGTTCCCACAGTACCAGCACCTGGTACACAGTAAGCATTAGATAAATATTTGATGTACTTCTCTGGCAATGTGACCTGTTACATAATATTGAGATTGTAAACTTTTGCTTAAAATCCAATTGTGAATTTGTGTATTTCAAAGGAAAACAGGCAATATTTTCTTCTCATCCTTAAAAAATCAGTTTTCAGATACCGTAAATACACCTAAACCATTCATGCACATCCCTTCTGAAGGTTTCTTTGGATATAAAACCTATAAACATTTAGACATTAGGTATAAAATCAATTTAATTGTATATTTATTGTAACTGAATTTCATGAAACCTAAAATGACAGGAATTATAACATCCATCCTGATTTCAGAGATGTTAAAATATGAAAAACAAAAGTTGTATCTTCAAAACCATGAACTACAAAGCACCGATGTAACTCCATAAGCTGCATGTGAGAGGTTTGGGGCACAAAAATCAATGTACCTATTTACTCTTATCAAAACCACCTTTGAATTGTCCTCTGGCTTGAATGGCATAAATATTTCTATAAATTAAAGTTGTAAAACAGTGTAATATTAAGCAGTGTGCATGCTGTGATGAGTAGGATAAAATACAAACCAGATGTTTCAAACTGATATAAAAAAGTGGCAGTGTATTTTTACAGCTATGTTATTATTTAAATGTAAGTTTCCAAAAAAACTTAACTGTATAATTATAAATTTCACTCAAAATTTAAAGAACACATCAAAATAAAACAAAAGCTTTTTCACACTCTCTTGAAATAATGCAAATTCTACTGTGAAAGACAGAATATGACATTTTTTATGCTTTCCCTAGAAAAATACAAATTGTAATCTAAATTTGAGTTATCCTTCATAGTATACGGAGCTATGAGAACCCCTAACACCTCACCTCAGAGCTATTGATGGCCAAAGCTTGAAGTAGCAGCTTAGTGGCATCAAGATGAAGGCCGTAATGAATCAAAAGGTTGGCCAAGTTGACAAGAGGAACATCTTGGTATTGAAGTGGAGCTAAATTCAAAGCCCTCTGAAGACAGGCAATAGCAAAAGTGCTATTTCCTACTGCTCTCCAGTATAGTCCAGCTTCATTGAGTATGAGCCAGACAGGAGCATTTGGCTGCAAAATCCAAAAATACTTCAGTTAGTACAAGAATACAGTACTTGTTCTAAATAAGATTTTTAATAAGTGCATTTTAACTTTCAGTTATAATTCAGAAGCATTTAAGTTTTAGATGTCTAAAGTAAATGACTCACCTTATTAATAGCATGAAATAAGAAAGACCCAATTTCTTCTTCTGGGACAGTATAGTTATTAATACGGGAAAGCAAAATCTGAAACATCAAAAGGAAGACTGACTCAATTGAAAATAACAGGGAAGACATTTGAAAGAATTTCTATAGATGGTAGTCTTTTCTTGAGCTCCTCAGGAACAGCTAATCTGAACAAATATTTATAATCATATATATGACATAAATTCATTGACATACCAACAGGTGTTGACTTGCTCACATGTATGTAATAGTTTGTTTAACTAAAAAGTTAAAAAGACATATATACCCACACACATTAAAGTAACCTACCATACCCCATTAAAGTCAGCCTAAGTGTTCAGAACCCAAGAAGAAATTATTCAACAGACAACAGCATGCAATATCTGATGTAATAAAAATCTACTATCTTTCCTTCCTGGAAAATACCAGATCCTCATTATTCTACTTCATTGTTCCTGCAGCATTTATGTAACCGTAAGCAACTCTAAGGCACAGATCATGGTCTGTTTACCTTTGTATTCCTAGCATCCACAACAATGTCTGGCACATAATATTCTTGCCTAAGGAAATGTCTGTCGAATGTAAGTAGTCATAAGTGCCTATAGTTTTGAAATTAACTTAAAAAAAAAAGAAAAGGTGGTTGTGATGGTCTGTGATTGCTAACAAGGTAATTTTTTTCATTTTTGTCTATGGAATGATATCTAATGTGGTAATCTATAGGAATTTAGGAAAAGAGCATAACCGAACTTCTAATGTTTGCAGAGTCATTATCAAATTAATATAAATTCCTAGGGACCTCATATAAGGTCACAGCAGGGTTGATAAGGCCAGAGAAAGAGATTCTTCAAGCTTTCAATTTATATAAACTTCTGGGGGCCTGGAGGATGCAAAGCTAACTTTTAGTGGTTGCAATGGCCTGTATTACACCAACTCCATTAGATAATTGAGAGTTCTGTGCTACTCATCTTTGAAGTGCTCTGAGTTAGAGGAATACTGTTTAGGTGATCTATGTATAGCAGCCCCGAGGAACTCTCTGGCACTCTTTTAAGAGCATGACTGACTTCGCCATCAATTCACCAAGTCTTTAACTCTATCCTTCCATTTTATATACTAAAAGCTCAACAGCTACCTTCTATCAATTTTTTGTTCCATTTAAGAGGCTTCTGAAGTCACCCAGAATGGACGGCAATAAATACCAGCCTAAGTGAGCCTTACTTTTCGTGCATGGTCATCTGGCATTTTGGCTTTCAGATCCATGCGAACCTCTAATTCTTTGACTAAGTAGGACAGAGTGTGGCTTTTTCTGAAGTCAGTTATGGAACAGTCAGGGGTTTGGGCCTCTTCTTCTGTAGAATAATCATCACTGCTGAGTTCGTGGATCCTGGCACAAGAAAAAGGAACAAGATTCATATTTTCAAAGTTTGGGTGACTTCAAGATAAAGACTTAACCTTTCAAGTCCAAGGCTGGTGCTCTCAAAGAACCGCCAGATGACAATCATGCAGAATCAGGTGCTTTGCCAAATCCATCAGCACTTGCCTGAGTCCTTTGTTTTCCGGAGGCAGAAAATACGTTGGCAATTCCCCACCAACAGGGACTCTAGGGTAGCTTTCTGTACAATCTGCTCTTTTAGGCCACAGAATATGTTGTTTGTCCTGATAAAGAAATAACATTTCTCATAAATTTCTTAGGATTCAGTATTTCAATATGCTAAAGAAGCTTTTAAAATGATATAAATATACTACAATAACTGAACAAAACTATAATACCTTAAGATTATGGTAGACTCTATAATATTCCTGCTACTGCAGATTATTAATCTAAGTCAGTAATTCTACCTGCTTTATCACAGACTGGTTCAGGGTTGGGCTAGGGTATAAGCCAGTTGAGCCACTGAGACACAAGAAGAGGTTTGCTTGGGGTTTTTGGGAAACAGAAGCAAGTCTTAGGCTCTTATGTTACTTATGAACAAAAAATCATGTTGTTCCAGTTGCTGCTGGCTGTCATCTTATGACCATGAAAAAAACCAAGCTTTTCGATGAAACCAATACTGTGGATGGTAGAGTGAAGAAAAAAAAAAAAAAGAAAGAAAAAGAAGAAATGGGTCACTGATGACATCACTGGGCCACTGAATCAACCAAACCTGAAGTTTATCCTATTTCTGGACTTCCTGTAATAATAGGCACGTTTTGTGTTTAAGTTAATTTGAGGTGGAGCTTATTACTTATACCTGAAAGCATACATAAGCCTATAAAACCTGGCATTGAACACTATTTTTCCCTAAACTAAGGTCTTTTTTTTGCCAATGCCAAAGTTTAACAATTGTTTTATGATTTGTAAAATGTTCACTTTCTCTAAATATAAACAAGATGTACCAGAGGCTTACTAAACTTAAATCTTGAAGCCATCAAACTTTGGGGGATTTATATTACATACAATTAAATCTAAGTGGCTGTTTAATTCTGTTAAACCCTTGATTAAATTCTGAAAATTTAATGGTGAATAAAAATCACAGTCTCTGTCCTCATACCTTGGTATCTGCCTCAGCTAACCTACAATTCTTTCTTAGCTAGTCTAGAAATGCACATGTAGTAACTTGTTTATTGTCTATGTCGTCTGCTAGAGTGTAGGCTCCAGAAGAGCAAGGGGGCTTATCTATTACACTGCTAGCATTAGCCTAGCACAGATGGGAGCTCAATAAAAGAATGCTGATCAAGCGAAGTATATAAAAACATACTCTTGGGTCAAGTTTAGAAACTTGTTAAGGTTGGTAATAATATTCAGAGGATAAAGCTTTAAATTGAAATCAGGGTGTCTCTCTGCTCTACTTGATTGGGAAAAACTCAAGGCAGAAATTGCATCTTACTCATTCACTACCTAGCAAAATGGCTTCCATTTAATAGAAATGTAATACACATTTGCTGAACTAATCTGAACAGTCATAGAGGCCATATTAATCAGTGAGGTTGAGGGCACTGCTTTAATGGATCTTGTCAGTTTGAGAAAACTGCTTCATCATCCTCTATTAACTTACCCTATATGCATCAGAGTCCCTGCCCCAAATCCAGAGAATAGAATGGGCTACGGGAGAAGACTTGACCGAATCATTGATATCACTCTGATTTGATTGAACATCAAAGTTCACAGACATCATACTGGAGGTTGATGAATCCTCACCAAACTAGAAAATGAAACAAAAAGTTCAATCAAATTGAAAGTGGAAAAGGAGTTGTGACTATAATTTAACTCACACCAAAAAAGCGAGTGAATATTCAAAATTAGTAGAAAATCAGAAAGTAGCTCAGTAATAAAGCAATTGGATCTTTTAATTTTAAGAGCTATGCCCCAATGATATTCTTTCATGGATAATACATAGTTAGCAACTTTCAATAACTTTGCCATTGGAGTATGAGAAAAATGGCATAGGCCATTTTCCTGTCCCTCTGCTTCATTTTTATGATTTAGTCTCTTTAGGTTAATAATTAGCTAATTTAGAAATCTGGTTCATTATTCCCCTTTTCTTCCTACACTAAAATGCTCACCACTCTAAAATTAGTGTGCTGTGTGTGGGTAGAAGTGAGGGAACTTAGGAAAGTGTTCTTAAGGGTTCTATCACTATCACTTAAGGATTACAGACTGCATTCAATCAATTACAAATGAAAGTTTTAGGGGTGAAAGGGTAACTTAGAAGATGGGAGAACACAAACATATACAGCCTTCTTTCAAAGCAAGGTGGAACAATGTTGGATATACTTACAAGATGCTTGTGTATTTCTGAAACCTTGCTAGATAATGAGAATGGGACTGGGGATGGGATGGGGTAGGAAAGACATAAGAAAAAGGAATGAATATGATGAATTTGTAGCTCTAGGTCTTTATGAATAGGAATGGATTCTTTCACTGTATAGTGGTGATACAATTTTATGAGTATAGTCTATTGGAAGCTACACTCCTTCAAATGGTCTTGAGACCATCAAAAAGTCCAAAAGGTACACCTGGGTTTCAATCTACTTCATTTTTAAACATCCCTGTTTTTCCCTTTAAAATGCTTGGTTTTAAGACAGGGAGCTATAATGCCAGAGGGTGTGAATCTGGTCTTCCTTTATTCTTTCCCTTGGAAACCAAACACAAGATATTGCTGGGAGCTGGTTTACAATACTCATAGGAAGCTTTTGGTCCCTATCACTATTTCCCCTTTCAAATGGCTTCTTAATTTTTGTCTCTTATTTTTTCCCAATGCAGTCTGGATTTTTCCAGATTAAAGAGTTCCAAGTTTTTGTGGTTTGTCCTGCTATAGATGGTCTCCTAATCTCTTAGTTATCTTAATTAGTTATTGCTGAAAATTTCTATATCTACAATTAGAGACATGATGAGTTTTCTCTAAGACAGAATAAATGTTGTTTTATTTCTAATATAGGTTGAGTATCAGTTTTCTGAAATACTTGACCAGGAGTATTTTAGATTTGAGATTTTTTTGGATTTTGGAATATTTTATTACACTTACCTGTTAAGCATCCCAACAAAAATGTGAAATCCAAAATGTTCCAATGAACATTTCTTTTGAGCATCATGTCAGTGCTCAAAAAGTTTCAGTGTTTGAATCCTTTTTTTTGATACTCAGAATTCTGGCTGTACTTGCTGTCTGTATCACTTACTCAACATCAATTATATACTATTTGGTATCATTATATTTTCGTGTTAGTTCTTCCCAACTAGATAGATTAGGATTGTACACGTGTGTATGTGTGTGTACACATATGTGTGTATATAGAGACAAAGTGAGAGAAAGTGCACACCTAGCAGTGTGCTTAATAAAGATTTTCTGGGCCAGGTGCGGTGGTGCACGCTTGTAATCCCAGCACTTTGGGAGGCCGAGGCGCGCAGATCACCTGAGGTCGGGAGTTCAAGACCAGCCTGGCCAACATGGAGAAACCCTGTCTCTACTAAAAAGTACAAAATTAGCTAGGCATAGTGGCACATGCCTGTAATCCCAGCTACTTGGGAGGCTGAGGCAGGAGACTCGCTTAAACTGGGAGGTGGAGGTCGTGGTGAGCCGAGATCAGGCAACTGCACTACGAACTGGGCAAAAAGAGCAAAATTCCATCTCAAAAAAAAAAAAAAAAAGATTTTCTGTCGATAATGAGTATTTTGTTGGTGGTATTGGTTGAGGCAATATAATTGGACTGATTATTTCAGGAAACGAATAGCATGGTTGCTCTCAAATTTTAAATAGGTCTTACTCTAACAGGTAAAGTGGGGAGATGAAAGCTTTGAGTTCAATAGTAATAATAGCCCAATTCTAGCTCCCATGGTAAATGAGAAAAGACTCAAATGCATGTGCATATAAATATGTAGATGGTACTTGGAGAAAGAGAAAGCATCCATGGAGTTACTGAGTACTCCCTATAAAATCTGACTTCGTAAACAAAACAGATCATCAAAATCTCTCTCCCTCTCTTTTTTTGAGACAGTCTTGTTCTGTTGCCCAGGCTGGAGTGCAATGGCATGATCTGGGCTCACTACAGCCTTGACCTCCAGAGCTCAGGTGATTCTCCCGCCTCAGCCTCCTGAGTATCTGGGACTACAGGCGCAAGCCACCATGCCTGGCCAATTTATATATGTTTTTGTAGAGATGGGGTTTCACCATGTTACCCAGGCTGGTCTTGAACTCCTAGACTCAAGTGATCCTTCTGCCTCTGCCTCCCTAAGGGTTGGGATTACAGGCATAAGCCACTGTGCCCAGCCTCAAAATCTTAAAGATCTAAATGATAACCACAAATTTTAGAGATCAAACATATAAAGAATCATGGGAAAAAACAAAAGTTTTTAAAAATCTTTATAAAGCAAAAGTTTATAAGAACTAGATTGGACCAAGAAAAAGACCTGAACATAGTCCACATTTTCAAAGATATCTCCACGATGATAGCGTACAGGCTGGTCCCACTGGCAATGTAAACTATGCTGCTGGTTTACCAGTCGGCATATCTGATGATTTCCTGGAATAAGAAAGAAAATTACACAAATGATGAGCAAGGTCAACAATGCCAATGTGATTTTCTTAGACTAAGTCATTTAGTATCAACCCTGTATCCCCCAAGAGCCCAGCAGGCTACTTATATAGGATGTACTTATATAGAGAAGTATTCATTAATGGTTAATCAAATTAAATCATTTTAAGAAGTCCCAGTTTTTCCGCCTATAAAAACAAAGGGACTCCACTAGATGATTACTGAGGTATCTTTCAGCAATTATAGTCTATGATTGTAAAATCTATTGATTACATCGTTTTAAGAGACTTTGGCTATCTTTCTGGAGAGAATTTGCTTTATATACTTCATAATTTTGTTTCAAATGCATATGTAAGAGCTCTGGTTGCGTTTCAGTAGACTGGGCAGTAAGTAATTTCAAAGATAAGCATACTCTTTACTCTCATAATAGCAAAGAAAATGTGTTAAGGGAATTGTAAAATAAACTATAAATGGTCACAGCTAAGCGTCAAAGGTTAAGAAGCTTTCTTGACGAACATACTTATCAAGGGAGAAAGGTATAATTAAGAGATTCTATTAATTTATTCTCTGGTGTTCAGTTGTCAGATCTGCTCCCTCGTAATTAGAAACAAAACATTCTAGATATAACCAAATCATTGCTCTCATGCCAATCCAAGTTCCTATAAACCAGTGGTTCTATTTTTACGGATCACAGATGCTTAAGAGATTTTAATAAAAGCTATATACCCTCTTCCCAGAAAAATACAATTGGACACATACACAATTCTACATATAATTTTCGAGAGGATTTCAGAACCCCCTGAAACTAATCCATCGATCCAGGTTTAAAATTCCAGTCTAAAATTTCACTTGTAAAATGTTGCTTTTAAGAGAGCAAGAAAAAAAGGAGTATGGATGGGTTGTTTCTAGGTGGGTCTGGCTTATATTCCCTTAGTGTAAGGCCTTGTTACACCACAGTGCAGAGTTTTTAGACCCGCGGCAACAGGCATCACCTGGGAGCTTATTAGGAAGGCAGGCTCTCAGACCTCAACTCAGACCTACTGAATCATAATCTGCATTTCAACAAGATCTCCAGGAAACTGATATGCATATTAAAGTCGGAAAAAAAACAAATAAACTGATGTTGAGCACAGAAGGCAAATAACTTAAGATTTCTAGGATCTACAAGACTTATTTTTTATTTCAAAATGTAAATTTGAAAAAAGCAAGGCGGACCACACCAGCTCCCCAAGCCTCCTGGTATACCCACAGTGATGAATCATGCTTTCAAGATGTAGGGAAGTCATAAACACAACCTCACACTGCTTTAAGGCTACAAGAAAGCTATGATAGTAAAGCACGCTAGAAGCGAATTTCCTAACCCATCTTCAGTTACCTGGAGTCACTACTTACCTAACTGTGCCTCTTTTGCCATCTGAGTCTCATGAATGATATTTCTTAAGATTTGCTCCTCCTGAATCAGTTTATGTTTTTCTAGGATTTCCTGCTGTCTCAGGTAGTGGTCATGCTGCTTTTGATACTCTTTTAACTCATTCAGTGTTCGCTGGAGAGATCTTAACATTTTTTAATACCAGGAAAAAGTTAGAGCTATAAAATCATAAAATTTTAAACCCACTTAAATGCATAGATTTTTCTGGTTCTCAGCAACAATTACTGTGTGTTTTCCTTTTATTTAACATACAACCCTGTACCACCAGTTCAATAATAACAGGGCAAAAAGATAAACGTGAAATTCTTCCTTTAAATATCACTTTTTAAAAAAAGAAATGGGGTCTCGCTCTGTTGCCGAGGCTGGATGCGGAGGCCTGATGGTAGCTCACTGCAGCCTTGTACTCCTGGGCTCAACTTCTGGGCTTAAGGGGTCCTCTTGCCTCAGCCTCCTGAGGAGTAGCTGGGACTACAGGGACATGCCACCATGCCTGGTTAATTTAGTTTTAGAAACTGGGTCTTGCTATGTTACCTAGGATAGATTTGAACTCCTGGTCTCAAGTGATTCCTCCCCTCCACCCTGCCTCAGTCTCCAGAATAACTGGGATTACAGGCATCGGCCATGACACCTGGCAATACAACTATCATGACATCAAATGGTATGTTGCATTTTTCAGGTGCCATAAAAAAATACATGACAATATACAAGTTTAAGTATTTAACAACTCTATTACTCTCTACAAAATCTGCATTAGTTCCATCAACATTCAAAGTCTTTCTAGAATCCTTTCCTCCTTTTCACTTTTTCCCTAGATTCTGCTTAAAGACAAAGTTAAGAGTTAGGGGCCACAGTACTTTGCTTTCATACTCTAACTTATTGGTTACAGGCCAGGAAAAACTACAGAAACTATACTTAGAAAGGAATATGCTTCACCACCTGATTTCAGTAAATCAGCTGCCTGATTACATTTAATCACAAAACCCATACTGCCTATTACACACTGTAACATATAGAGATTTTAGGAGCTACACAGATTGTGTAAAGATAGAGTCAGCTCAGTTAAGAGCATGATACTGGAAAAGCTCAGCCAGGTATAACAGAAACCAGTTATGAATAAGCAAGCTGTCATCCTTTTTACTTCCTACCATGTTATGCCTTAAACAGATTGGAAAATAAGCAAATACAAAAGCTTAATGAATTCTAAATCTCTATTTAATTCTCTACTCACCAAAGTAAACTCAACTATTACAGCTAATTCTGAGATATGAAAAATTCACTTCTGAGTTAACATAAAGTTTCTTAACTAGCCCTATTGACTGAAGGAAATGTTTTTTAATTTATTATACCTCAAGGATCAAATACAATAGAATTCCATTACTGTACAACCTAACACACAATCATGAGTAACACGTGGGCCAAATAATGTCTCTTGATCCCATTTAACTACCTTAACAAGAGCCCAACCCTAGAAGCCACCACCTCTCTCCAAGAGGAGAAATATCAACTATTGCACATGTAAGTGATTTTACTGAAACTTAGTATATTCTATGGAAATAAAAATATAGTCAACAAAGTTACTAAGTATCCCAGTCTCCCCATCCCAACTGACTTCATAAAAGTAATCAATGGTCAATAAAGATTTAAATGACAGCTTTTACTACAAATAGTCTCTAGTTGCAGGAATCCATACAATTAAAGATATTCCTCTACACAACCACTGAATTGTGCTAAACCACCAGGATAACAGAAAAAGCATAGGACCTGCAGTACTGAAGAGGTTTCTTTCTTAATTCCAATTACCAAATTAACACTGATATCCCCTACACAGATTTAACCTAAGGTTCTATAGTGCTAGTGCTTCAGTGAAATTTTTCCTCTCAATTACCTATGTTGAGCCTCCAATTTCTGCTCCAGTTTTTGCTGGCATAGGACAGCATGCTTCCTCTTTATAGCTTGCTCAAACCCAGGTTTGGCCTGCAAAGCGTGGTCATAACAGAGCACTGAGTGGTTATATTCCCCAAGCATCTGAAGAGACAAAAACACACACACACGCACAAGGGAAAAAAATGTGAGCCATCGCCTGGTTGCATCTGTCCAAATCCTCTAATGATTTATGAGATCACACCTACATCTTACTCTACAGTGACCATTATTTTGATCAGTGACCAGATCCCTACAATATTAAGGCATACTATAGGATGGTTTAGTTGGAAGGTATTGCTAACCTTAAAAGGTGTACCCTGTAGAAGTTTAAAATTCCAATTTAATTATTATTATTTTTTTTCGGCAAGAGGCTAGAACAATTACATTATTGTGTTGAGGATTTTTCTTCCTCCTAATTTCATTTCCATTGTTCAGACCAAAAAATAAATGGAAAAAAGTAACATTCTACTGAGTGGGGGGGAAAAAAAAAAAAGAAAGTGGCAACTACTAGCATGACTTATGAAACAAACAGTTGTACTTACTGCATATATATTCCCCAAAGTGTAATAGCTGGTGAAGAAGTCACTGTCATCCAGAGCTGCATGGACCACGACAGCAGCATCAGCAGAGAAGTGTGCTCTGTGTAGAACGTTTGCCAGGTTGACCAGGGCAATGTCTTTATTGTGCCTAAGGAAAGCAGCACACATTCCACGATTATGTAGAACCACTTGACAAGGAAAAATGACATTCAAAGTTACTTGTGCTTAGGAAACTAAGATATAGGTGGAGCAAATAAGATAATCATAGTGTTTCATTTTTAAATTATTGATGGTTCTTAACCTGATAGCTACAAATTTTGTCTTGCAGACACTATATGATTTTACAATTTATTTAGGACTTAAATTTGCTTTAAGAAAAGTTAAACTTAGTTTACGATAATTCCATTCAAGTCCTATGTGAATCATAGGGCATCTACATAACATATTTTTTCCTTAATGGAAATGGAAAGAATACTACACAATTATCACTTTGAACTTTTTGACATCTGTGATTTTTTTTGTTGTTGTTGTGGGACTTATTTCTTTGAAGAGGGATGGAGAAAAGTAGATAATGCAATGCTGCTTCTTATTGCTTTCTTATGTATTGTTTCTATAACAGTCCTGAGGAATGTGGAAAATCAAGTCCAGAAGAGGAGGAATCTTACCTGGAAGAGAAGTGAAGTGCTCGCATGGCACATTCTACTACCTGATATGGCTCATTCTTAATTCTCCAGTAAAATGAAGCCATGTTATACAGTACCCATGAGGAAGAGTTCTAGAGATTAAAAAAGTGAAATTACAAACAGGACTCAAGACAGTTTAATTTAGAATAGTCAAAAGGAGCACTTTTAATATTCTGGCTCTTCTGAAATTCAAGATGAAGAGCCAGACTAATGATAAGCAATGATAAAGAAGAGGACACAGTGCAAAGAAACTATACCTGTCAAAAGGGTATTCTAATCATCAACTGAGCATGTGCATTAGTGTGTGGTCTTCATCAGACTCCAGCTTATTCCAAGAGGGAAATAAAGCTGAAAATCCCACCAATTGACCACAACTTGTTGAGCTCTATTTCAGGACTTCCGAAGTTAAGTCAGAAGACCTCATCTACTTAGAAATAGCTCTAACGTGAAATTCCTGAAATTAACATTGTACACATTTTTCTATTTATGTAATATCTGAGTGAAGGCACAAACCTAAACAGGCTTACTCTAAACATAAAGACAAAAAAAAAGAGGAAAAAGGGCCAAAAACATGAACAAACAGCTAAGAAGTATCTAAAATGTGTAACTTCACAAACAAATAGAAATTTAAAAGATACAGGTTTTCCTTTTACGAAGTGGCAAAGACTAAAAAGAATGCCAATACTTACCGAATATTATTAACTTTAGATATTAAACTATAGAAATGCTAAGTTACTACAGCATTTCTGGGGGACAACTTGACATGCATGTAAAAAGCTTTAAAAATGTAATGCATATTACATTAACGTACATATTAATGTATATTACATTTGCCCTTTGACTCCCACAATTCTATTATTAAAAATGTATACTATGGGGAATAATTACGTTTTAACTATAAAGCTGTGTAAAAATCAAACTCCAAAAGAACATATTACAAACCAGTTTTGAAATTATTCACTTTACTTTCTTTTATAGATTTTTATAGTATGAATCTTTCGCAAGGGCCCAATTATTTTTAAAAGAGCTATTTTAATGTAGTTAAAAAGTTTAAATTTAGTTAAATGTAGTTTTTGAAGACTACAATAAGTACAATCCTGCATTATTCATCCTTAAGTATTCTATCTTCAAGAAAAGTATGTGATTTTTGAGTGATGCAATTTCAGATTTTTGCACTATTAGCAGATCGACTATGAACTTCTACTACTTGAAGTTGGTTAAAGGACAATACATTCTTCACAACTGACTTGTGGCCGAGGTTTCAGTTTTCTTTTTCATGGCCTTTTGAGAAAGTTGTTTTTCAAATCAACCAATGCTTTGATTTTGATTTTCTTCTTTTATTTTCATGTCAGAGTGTAAACTGGGGCAAAAGTTCAATTAAAAGTTCTACATGAACTACTGAAAAGAGTATAAGTTAAATATATATCATAGCATACTGGCGGTAAGATAAAAATATACATTTAAAGAAATATATCTTTCTGTAATTCTCATAAAATCTCCCCCAAATCTATAAATGTTCTAATGTTACTGTGAATTACTCCCTCCTTCCTTTGACCACTTTCTGCCATTGGCTCTTAGGACATCGCATTCTGCAGGATACCCTTTCTGGTCTTTTTTGCTGGCTTTCCCCCTCTGCTTGATAAATACATGTGGGACGCACCCAGGAGTCAACTGGCTTCTTCTCAAACTTTACTCTTCCCCAGATGACTTCATCCAGTTCCCTGGCTTCAGATATTCATTATTTAATAATTACTCTCTATGTGCCCAACTCTAACTTTCCCTGAAATTCCAAACTCATATAGGTGTTTCAAATTTAACATGGCCCAAATAGAACTCTTATTTTCTCTTCTCCCACCCCAACACTCTCCTCCTTCAAGTTGTTCAAGTCAAAAATTTAAGAGTTTTCCTTGATTCCTCTTTTGCCCTCAATCCCCATATCTAACTCATCAGCTTCTAAACTCCTAAATATCTCCTAAATAGTTCAAGTCCTCTCATTTCCACTACTAACAACTGCTAGTCCAAACCACCTTCATCTCTCTCTTGAACTACTGCAACAGCTTTCTAACAGGTCTATTTCCAGTTGTGGTCCTTTCAATAACTTCTTCATATAGCAATCAAAGTGATCTTTTAAACCATTAATTGCAATACATTGCTTCTCTGCTCTGACTTCTCAGCACACTTAGAATAAGATCCAAAATCCTTACCCTGGATTTCAGACCCTTACATAATCTGGCACTGGCCTAATTCTCTGGCTTCATTCCTTATCATCCTTCCTCTTGCTCACCAGGCTCCAGCAATATTGGCCTGAATTTGGCTGCACGCCACCTGTTATGGACTGAATGTCTATCTATGTCTCCTCAAAGTTCATATGTTCAAGTGTTATCAGACCTATGAGGAGTGGATAAAGGCTAAATGAGGTCATAAGGGTTGGGGCCCAAATTTGGTTTCTTCCTATAAGAGTCCTTATAAGAAATGGAAGACAGATCTCTCTCTCTCTGTCTTCAAGCATGCACACAGATGAGGCCATGTGAGGACACAAAGAGAAGGTGGCCATATGCAAGGCAAGAAGAGAGCCCTCACCAGGAACCAAATCACTGGCACCTTGATCTTAGACTTCCCAGCCTCCAGACTATGAGAAATAAATTTGTTAGGCCACCTAGTATGTGGTGTGAACAAATATATTTGGTCTTTGTCCCCGGTTCCTGACACACAAACCTAAAACTTGAAGAATCACAGCAGTAATGTGTGTCTTTCATATGCTAATGGATGACTGGAGGCAGGTGGCTCCCAGATAGCTTCAGGACAGATGCTGGTCCCAGAAAAACCAAGGCATGATTAGAGGGTTAAATCTTTCAGAATCCCATTCTCCCCTTGTCCTTCGGGGATGGGAGAGAAAGTAGAGATTGAGTTCATCACTCATGGCCAATACTTTAGTCATTCATGCTTACATAGTGAAACCTCCATAGAAACTCTTAAACAACAGAGTTTTGAGAGCTTCTGGGTTGGTGAACACATTGAGATTCTAGGAGGGTGGTGTTCTGGAGAGGACATGGAAGCTCTGTGCATCCCTTCCCCCTATTCCCTGGCGTATGGCTTTGGCTGTTCCTGAATTGCATCCTTTACAATAAACCAATAATAGTTGGTAAAGCACTTTCCTGACTTCTGTGAGCTGTTCTAACTTGGGGAGGCAGTTGTGAGAACACTCTTGACTTTATAGCTGATTTGTCTGGTGGCCTTGACATGCGACTGGCATCTGAAGTGCAGGTAGCCTTGTGGGACTGAGTCCTTGACCTGTGGGGTCTGTGCTAACTCCAGGTAGTTAGTGTCAGAATTGTACTGAGTTGGAGAACACCTAGTTGGTGTCAGGAGAACTGGAGAATTAGTAGTGTGAGAAAAAACTCCATACGTTTGGTGTCAGAAGTGTTTTGAGCAGAAACGGTCCAAAGTGGTACTTTGTTATGGAAGCCAGAGCAGACAAATACAACCACCTAACCTCAATCAGGATTCAGAGCCTTTGCTGTGGCCTAGCATGCTCTTCCAAGGTCTTTGAATTTTGGTTTCTTCTTATGATTCAGGTGTCAGCTTAAATTTCACCTTTCCGGAGAGATAACCCCAACTGCTAGATCTAAAGTAGCCACCCAGTTACTTTCTGTTTTAATTTTCTATAGAACACTTACCACTATGGTCTACTCTCAACTAACCATTCTCTGAAGGATACTGTAAAATCCTGGGCCAGTTTTCTCTTATTACTCATCAAGTTCTGGGAACGTAAAAGTTTTATATTACCTTCAGAAAAATAAGATGAAGATGGTAACACAGCTACAAAAATAACCATGTAAAGCATTTGAAAGTCGTTATTATTGTACTTTTATCTGAAAATTCCTCTCAATATACAGAGTTATGTATTTGAATAAACTGTATACAAAGGTGGCAATTATACATCTTATTTTATACCACTACAATACTGCTTAGAAACTAAACTGCATTGCCTCCTATGATACTCCTTAGGCACAAAGAAGAACAAAAACATTTTCTAAATGCCCACGTTAATCCTGAATGACACATTTAAATTCTTGGGTCCTGTTACATAAATCCCCATTTCATTTTTTTTTAAAGTAGATGTTCCCTTAAAAGAAAGTTACAGAAGATTTTATTGCTGGTGGTGATTCTTTTTCTGTCTCAGAAAACAGTAGTAATATATGTATTGTGTGTAGATAATATTAAAGACACTAAAACATTAACTTTCTTACACACACAATGTATATAATCCAGCCTATAAACCCTGTTGCTAATGTCAGTTTGTATTTCGTTTTTCATCAATTAGTTTAGATAAAACTTTCCAGCATCTCTTCCTGGGAAAGGAGACTAGTCTATCCATATTTCTCCCCAGCACTGAACTATGCAATTTGCATCAATGTAAGTGTAACTTCAAATTGTCTTCTAGACTAAAACAAGTTACTCAGGTATTTTCCAAGAGAAAAATACCTTCTGTTTACACAGAGCCTGCTGGCTCTTAAAGTGACTGCTGACTTACCTTCTGTAGGCCTTCATGAATGAGGTGGCCTATGTCATCTATACTCCTTCCTAATCGTTTAGATAAATATGTGAAGATTGGGTCTTCTTTAGGTAGTAGAGGTGCAGAAAGATTAACTCTCTCTTGTACACCCTGAAGAGAAGAAAATGATTCAAAAGACATATCAAAGGATATAAAAGATGACAAATAATTCGGTATCTTACAGTATTTATTTTGAAATACTAATATTTTAGAGTTTTAAGAAATAAGAGATGCCTGTAAAATTATAGAGCTGTTTGGAAGAAGAGAAGAAAGAGAAATAGTCTTTATAAGTGAGAGATCAACAGAAAGAAGAATGCAAAAAAAAAAAAAAAAAAAATCCTAAAGTTATCTACTTACTCTCAAGTGCTGAAAAGCATGTATACTATATGGAAGTTCTAGAATTTTAGTACAATCAGGTTGCTGAGGGTCTGGAGGGACAGGAGATTCTGTGTCTATATAATCTTCAGGACTAAAATCAAAAAGAAGCAATGAGTGAATAAAAGGTGAGATAAACAATACTTTATTTATTTATTTAGAGAAAGGGTCTCATTCTGTTGCCCAGGCTGGAGTGCAGTGGCATGATCACAGCTCGCTGCAGCCTTGATCTCCTGGTCTCACGCGATCCTCTCACCTCAGCCTTCCAAATAGCTGGGACAACAGGCATGCACCACCACAACCAGCTATATATTTTTTTATTTTTTGTAGACAGGTCTCACTATGTTGCCCAGGGTGGTCCTGAACTCCTGGCCTCAAGTGATCCTCCCATCTTGGCCTCCCAAAGTGCTGGGATTACAGGTGTAAACCACTGCGCTCAGTCAATAGTACTTGAAGAAATGTCAACTTTTTCCCATATTCTCATAGCATCTCAACTTTACAACCAATTATTAGTCAATATTCATACCTTTTCATATACCTGCCATGAAAAGTCAAACATTTTGGGAGTTCAAATTAAAGTCAACAATCACATAGAAAATAGTAGATAGATCACAGAATAAGATCACAGACTTTTTAATAACTAACATAACTGCTCAATTGTTTCTAGAAACGTTAAACCAATTTATACTTCCACTGACAGTCTCTCTACATTTTTACAAGTTACTATTTTTTTGATATGCTTTCCATTTTGGTAGATGAAAACTATCTAAATATTGCAACTTATACTTATTTGATCATTTCTGAGAAATTTTTTTCCATGTTTATTGGCCATAAGTAATGTTTTGTTAATTTTTTTAAAACTACAAATTGTTCAATTTTCTTTCTTTTTCTTTTTTTTTTCTTAAGAGACAGGGTCTCACTCTGTCACCCAGCCTAGAGTCTGGGCTTTGGTAGAGTGGCACCATCATAGCTCACTGTAACCTTGAATTCTTGGGTCAAGTGATCCTCTCAGTTTAGCCTCTTGAGTAGCTACAACTACAAGTGCACACCACCATGCCTGGCTAATTTTTACATTTTTTTTGGTAGAGACAGGGTCTCGCTATATTGCCCAGCCTGGTCTCAAACTCCTGGCTGTTGGCAATCCTCCCACCTTGGCCTCACAAAGTACTGGGATTACAGGTGTGAGGTACCACGCCCAGCCAAGTTGTTCCATTTTCTACTGTGGTGTTAAATATTTTAAATTAATTTGTAAGAATTCTACATGTAGTATGTATTTTGAACTTTCAAATTCTAAAACTCATCTGTGATTGAAGCTTACTCTTATTACAGAAATAATTTCTTACTAATTTGAGAAAAGAATGTTTGAAAAAGCAATTTTATTTTTGGAAAGAGAACTTCTTTACCTGATGTCTTTGCTCTCCAAAGTTATGTATGTGCCATCATACAGATCCAGGTCCCCTAAGGGCACCTTGGCTTTGATGCAGTCTGGGTCTTCTTTATTATGTCTCTGTTCCAGTCCTGTGTCTCTGTCCTCATTCTCTTCTATGTGAATTTTTTGAGCAACTAATTGTTTCTGTTAAGAAGAAAGTAAGAACAGAATGGATTCTTCTAATATTTTAGTCTAACTACCATTGAAGAGAAAGGGGAATTTGAGCTGAAGAAGTCAGAATCCTCTATGCAGGAAGACAAGAATTCTGAAAATGCCCTTAGTTAACTTAGTCAACACACACAAGCTTCTCAAAAAAGATGTCCACATACAGAAAGTAACAGAACACGACATTTATCATAGTGGCACACATGTGCCTTCATAATATGATTTCTGACTACCCATGAAGCACATCTACTAACTTAACTTTCCTGGCACAGAATGGCTCTGCAATGAAAACAAATCTGTCAAGCTGTTTCAATCCTTCAAGATATACAGCATGCTGCTATTGGTACCTGGGTATTCCAGTTAATTCCTGTCACTCATAAAATACCTATTTTTTCAAATGTACAAATAACACAAATATCCATTTTTCAACACCCATATCTATCATATGCCAATATTTTATCTTCCCCCACCCCACTTTTTTTTTTTTGAGGCAGTGTCTTGCTGTCACCCAGGTTGGAGTGCTGCAGTGGTGCAATCACAGCTCACTGCAGCCTTGACCTCCTGGGCTCAAGCGATTCTCTCACCTCAGCCTCCCAAGTAGCTGGGACTACAGGCATGTGCCACAATGCCAATTTTTTTTCTTTTTTTTTTGAGACAGGGTCTCACTTTGTCACTCAGGCTGAGTGCAGTAGTGCGATCACAGCTCACTGCAACCTCAAACTCCAGGGCTCAGGGGATCCTCTTGCCTTAGAGCCCCAGGTAGCTGGGACTACAGATGCACACCACCATGCCTGGCTAATTTTTTGGTTTTTTTTTTTTGTACAGATGGGGTTTTGCCATGTTGCCCAGGCTGGTCTCAAACTCCTGAGTGCAAGCAATCCACTTGCCTTGGCCTCACAAAGTACTGGGATTACAGGCATGAGCCACCATGCCTGGCCAACTTTTCTGTTTTTTATAGAAATAGGGTCTCACTATGTTGCCCAGGCTGGTCTCAAACTCCTGGGCTCAAGCAATCTTCCTACCCTGGCCTCCCAAAGTGTTGGGACTACTAGCATGAGACACCATGCCTAGCTGAGATTTTTTTTTTTTTAAAGAAAAAAAAAAAGGGAGGGAGTTCAAGGTATTCTTTAATGTTGTCTAAATCTCTAACTTCTTATAATTAATCTGAGTTTATGTGTCATTTCCACGTATATTTTTATAAAATACTATATTACCCATACTCTCCTAAAATATTACTTTCATTATATATGTATCCCAAATCAACATACAGCATTGCTTTGTAAGTTTTAAAATTTTACATAAATGGTATCATACTTAATGTATCTACAACTTAAAAAAAAAAAGTACGTATGTTTTTTATATTTATCTACATTAGTCAGAATAGCTCTAAATTTTTCATTTAGATGGATGTATAAATATGTATATATCCATTTTCCTGTAAACATTTATGTTGCTTCTTTTAAAAAAACTTTCTTTGCAATTAAAAATGCTACAATATTCTTATGTCTCCTTGTACACATGTGAAAAATTCTAGCAAGGGCAGAAATATGGGGTCATATGGATGCACACATTTTCAGTTTTATGCAGATGTGTCAATCTGCTTTTCACAGTGGTTATAACTATTAGAATTCTCCCAGTAGATCATAACACCTATATCCCCAGAATCTTACCAATGTTTGGTTTTGTCATACTTTTAAACTTATGCCAATCTAATAGGTATGAAACATTATTTTGTTATATTTATTATGGTAGTAGACTATGTTATTGTGATAGACTGTATTACTATTCACTAAAATCCTGCCCCTCCTTACAAGGTGATACATCACTGTTTTGCCAGACTCAGGCTTGGGCAATATGACTTGCTTTGGCCAATGTAACATAAGTCCCATGTGACCCTTTTACAGGAAAGCTTTTATAGAGTTAGTGTATGCTTCACCATGTTCTTTCTTTCTCCCTCAGCTACTGAGAATGCCAATATTACAGTGGCTACTCTGTCGGCCTAGGTCCTGGCTTATGGATCACAGTGACATGGTACAGATCCCCAACAGAGCCCCAAATGATCATTTAGCATGGCCTTATTGTTTTATGCCATTAAGATTTTGGGGTTATTAATGGGGACAGAGCCTATGATCTGTTTCCAATTATTCCCTCCACACTTTTCATGGAGATATGCTATCCTGCCCTACTGACTTCAAGGCATGACCACATGACTTGCTTTGGCCAATGGAATGTGAGTAGAGATGGTGTATATCACTTCTCAGTAGAAACTTTAACCAGGCTTATATTATTTGGTTGTTCTTCCTTGAGCCTTCACTTTCCTTCATAAGAACAGCACTGAGGTTCTGTGGCTATTTGTTGCCAATGCACAAGTTGACTAATACACTATAAAATATGGACTATATCAACTAATAGAATAATATTTAATAAGATTGAACATATTTTCATATGTTTATGAGATATTTTGTGAATTGGCTGTTCAAGTTTGCTCATTTTTTTTCCCCAATAGGTTTTCTTTTTTAAAAAACTGATGTGTAGGAATGGCGTGGTGGCTTGTGCCTATAATCTTAACATTTTGGGAGTCCAAGGCTAGAGGATCACTTGAGTTCAGGAGTTTGAAACCAGCCAGGCAATACTGCGAGACCCCATCTCTACGAAACAAATAAAAAGTTAGCCAAGCGTAGTGGTGGTGCTCGCCTGTAGTCCTAGCTACTGGAGAAGCTGAGGTAGGAGGACTGCTTGAGCCCAGGCAATGAGGTTACAGTGAGCAATGATCATCCTACCTGCATTCCAGCTGGGGCAAGAATGAGACCCTGTCTCACAATAAACAAATAAATAAATAAATAAGAAATTAATCTGTAGAAATTTATGGAAAAAGTAATTCTATAAACTCATCCTCTATGAGTTATATGCATGGCAAGTATCGGCTTTTAGTCTGTAGCTTATCTTTTATCATTTGAAGAAAAACTTTTAATTATAAAGTGGGCAACTTTATCAACTGTTTTCTTAATGGTTTGTACTCTGTTTTATTTAAGAAATCCTTCCCAAACCTGAGATCGTAATTACATCAATCAATTACAGTCAAGTACCACATAAAGATGTTTTTGGTTAACAACAGACCCCAGTGGTGGTCTCATTAGATTACAATACCACATTTTTACTGTACCTTTTTTATGCTTAGATATACAAATACTTACCATTATGTTACAACTGTCTACAGTATTCAGTACAGTAACATGTTATACAGTTCTGTACACTTGTTATACAGTTCTGTAGACTAGGAGTCTATACAATATAGCATAGGTGACTGTATAGTAGGCTATATCACCTAGGTTTGTGTAAGTACACTCTATGATGTTCCCACAATGGTGAAATCCCCTAACAACACATTTCTCAGAGCATATTCTTGTCATTAAGCAATGTATGACTATCAATTTTTTTTTTTTAGTAAAAAGTTTCACTTTTCATACTTAGATTTTTAAACCGTATAGGAAATTTTTTTTTTTGTACATTGAAAGGTATTTTTTTCCCACATGGACAGTTTCCTAATATCATTTATAAAGAGTCTATCCTGTACCCATTTATTCAATCAGTTTTTAAATTTCATCGTTTTCTAAAATCTTACATTATACCTAAGCTTTCAAATTTATTGATCTAGAGTTTTTATAGTATTAATAATTATGTCTTAAGTTTTAAAAATCTTTATCTTATATCTGCTTTTTCATCACTAACATTTCTTTTTTTCTGTCATTTCTCTTTTTTTCTGATAAGTCTTGCTGCTAGAGTTTGGTCTTTTTATTTTTTAAGTAAATACTGTTTTCTTGAGACTGTTTAATTTCTTATGTTATTATTTCCATATTTATATTAGTTTAGTTAATTGGTTTATTATGTTTTCTAACTCATGTTGAATATTTAACTCATTTCTTTTCAGTCTTTTTTTTTTTTTTTTTTAAAAGACAAGCTCTCGCTATGGCTGTCCTGTCTAGACTCAAACTCCTGGGCTCAAGCAATCTTCCGGCTTCAGCCTCCCAAGTAGCTGGGATTACAAATGTGAGTCACTGTGCCATTTATTTTAATAAATGCATTTTTCTATAAATTCATCTCTAAATATATCTAAGCTTCATTTCAGGATTTTTGAAATGAAGTGTTCTCACCGTAGTCTAAAGTTTTGTGATTTTTCTCTTTAAACCATGGGTGATTTAAGAATGCCTTCAAGATTTTCAAAATTTGTGTTTTCTCTCCTTTTTCCTGGGCATGTGTATTTTATTTCTTTTAACTTAATTGTACTGTGATCAGAGAACATATTATGCATGATAACAAAACTTTGTAAATCACTTCCCTTATATCCTGGTAGTGGTCAATTCTGGTAAATATTCTACATTGAAAACACTGTATGTTCTCTTTGTTCAATTTAGGGCATACTCGCTCCCTCTATATCTTTTTCTATGTCTCGCTGTATACATCTATGTATAGATTTATACAGAGATCCAAAGGTGTTACTTCCTGTATCTTATTTTTGTTGGACTTACCAGTTTCTGACAAAAATCTGCTAAAGTTGCTTCCTCTGGCTGACTTTTCATGTAATTCTGTCAGTTTCTGCTGTCTTGATATAAACATACTCACATCCATGAGGCCGAGTTGTTAGGTACACACAAGTATATGATATTATATTTTGTGGTAGGTTGTTAATATGTAGTATCTGTCTATTAATTATTTTAGGCTCTTACTTTGTCTGAGACAGGCCCACTGTTCTTTATCATTGTAAATCTAAAATTCTGAAAACCTAAAGCTTTAAAAAATTTTTTTGCATTAAAATTCACATGGCAACAAAACCTGATGGAAAGCCATTTTACAGTCTTTATACTCTTAACACGCATGGTCATACATGTCACTAAAGAAATATTAATGTATCTGATTATAGACTTTGAAACAGCCCTGAGAGAAGTAGAATGTAATATAAAATATTTGTGCCTATCACATTT